GCTCTTTCAATGTCAGGATGACCAAAAAATGACCCGTCTTTTTCAATATTCTTTTTAGGCCCGTCGTAATCTCAGATATGACGTCACCTTTCTGCTTGTTTGTAAACACGAACAATGATTTGGCTACAGATACGCCAGAACATAAATTAAGAGTAGCCAGAAAGTAGCCAGGGAGGCCAGGGTGCCAGCCTCCATTTTTGGTCGACCAGACATGCTCAAAAATAGCCGATTTGGCGCAAACTATAGCCACCAACGGCACCGATGCAAGTTGGACGTGAACCATGTATAAAGCAACATGCGGCTCCGACGGCACGGCGCATGTGCAGAAGCATGGCCTCCTTTGTTGTAGAAAGCCTGTCAAATCGCGAAATAACATGGCCACTGTGAAGGGGAAAGAAGGCTAGAGAAGAAGACGCGCGCAGGGGTTCTCTCGTGCAGCGCCAAACAATGCCCCAGCGGTAAAATCCAAAGACCCAAACGCCCTCTTTTTTTAGAGCGCAGCTCTTAGGCGCCCGTTTCCAACCTGAGCAGCGTCGCCGTCGCCGTCGCCGTCGGAGTAACCGCACGTTGCATGCAACTCAGGTCGCATGCAGTCTGAGTTGCATGCAACTCAGTGGTGCATGTCGCCACAACCACGCGATGCAGGTAACTCAGGTTGCATGCAACGTGAGTTGCATGTAACCTGAGTTACATGCAACGTGAATTGCATGCAACTCACGTTGCATGCAACGTGAGTTACGACGACATGTAATTACGGCGACATGTAGCATGTCGCCGTAATTACATGTTGCGAGCAACTCGGGTTGCATGCAACCTGAGTTGATTGCAACCCCCCTAAGTCGCGTGACCCCCAGGCCACGTGACCTCCCCCGAGGTCACGTGACCCCCCATGCAACTCAGGTTGCATGCAACCTGAGTTGCATGCAAGCCCCCGAAGTCACAGGACCTCCCCCAGGTCACGTGGCCCTCCAGGTCACGTGACCCCCTTCCCGAGGTCACGTGACCCCCCCGGATCACGTGACCCCCCCCCACCCCCGTGCCTTCCCCTCCTCCTCAAGAGCTGCGCTCTAAATTGGCGTTACAAGGAGTTGTAAACGGCTTTCATTTTTTCTTTCTAAAAAAAAAGGAAAGAATTTTGCGTCGACCCTCGTCTCTTCCGTTCCTCTCCCGTTTTTCCACGCCCCGGTAGCCTCCTTCCTTTTCTTCCTCCGTTGAAGTTGGTTGTTGTTTCGCGGAGAGGCCACCGCGCGTACTGTTGGCGCTGGCTGAAAAGTTACACCAGAAGTGACTGCGCTACCATATGGGTAACCGTTCGGCGCTGCTCCTCGTCTTTTTCGGGCGCCCGCGCGCTCAATGGCTCCGTCGTGGAATTGACAGGCTCTCTAGAATAAAGGAGGCTACGGCAGAAGCTTCTCCTTACGCGAATCTAGTTTCTGTGCAAGCACAGTGTGAGTCAATGCGGGCTTGTTTTTACAGTGCGTGAGTATATATTGCGTGCATATTGTTCAGCGCCGGGAAATTACTTCTCGGAGGTATGAGATTGCGCTCCTATCAGTTGCGGCACCATTATCTTAAAGTTGAAACGGGTAAACACGTAACATTACTGAAAATGTTTTTCGTATATTACGAACTTTACATGTTTGAAAGATGAAAGTTTACGCGGACTATTTAGAGGTGCGGGCTATGCGGAAATTTTGTTTTTCAAGATCGTCCATTGTGACGACACGTGACAAATTTCGTGATCGAAAGATTATACTTAATGGTGATTTATGTACGACACAACTGCTTCTTTGTGAGCTAACAAAGCAGTCATTTGTCAAGGTGTGTTGTATATTAGAAGATTTTCGTGTCGCCTATGCGAACCATCTAAGCAAAAAAAACTTTGTTTTTTTAATCCCCAATTTGCCCCTACGGACCAGGCACGTAGCCAGGGAGGAGGCCCATGGGGCACCCCCCCCCCCCCCCCCCCCGAAATCTTTCATTTTGCTGGGGCCTCTCCTCCCACCTCCCCCTCATAAGCATTTTGTCACGGGCGCCCCCCCCCCCCCCCCCCCCCACACACACACACACAAAACAAAATCCTGGCTACGTGCCTGCTACGGACTACACACCGGTTGCGGACAAGGGTGAAAATACGGTAACTAAATACCGTTGTTCGTTACTGAGATTCAAAAAGAACGCGTTACTCCAGCTCAAAAGTAACGAGCGACTTTCTGGTTCGTGTCGTTTTTCTGAAGCAGTAGCCACTTTCTGATATTTTGTGTCTTTAATAATGCCTAGCTTTTTTAAGCGTTCGTGGACGTCTTTTCTTTTTGTCGACGCTTTTTTGGCGTGAAAGTTACAGGCACGAGCAGGGCTGAAAACCAAATAGGGTGACTTGTGTTGTGCACGTTCCTGTTTAGGGGTAATATATACCATCAAAGAGCAACGAAATTACGCTAATTATTCGTTCTCTCGATGATGCGCACGTTCCTCTGACGCTGTGCGCGACCGTGTTTGCTGCAGACACGGTGACAGAATGACCTGCAAACACGGACCCTCAAGCATGTTCGAAGAAGCATGTTTGCTTCAAACATGCGCCTGCAGGCAGTTGCTGTGCGACACATGTGACTGTCGTGCAAGAGCAAAACACGCCTCAGACATTAGGGAGTTTTAGGGAACCGTTTTTGCACATCCGATACGCTACGATGGACCCTCCGGTCTGCGCATGTGCGAGTCTTTTGTGGTAGCGCATACGCAGTTCGTATACTGGAGGCAGTCTTGGATAAGTTATTTTTAAAAAGTAATTCGTTACAGTTACAGTTACTTTCAGAAAAAGTAGCGAAGTTACCGTTACAGTTACAGTAATAAAAGAATAACTCGGTACAGTTAAAGTTACTTTTAAAAAGTAACGAAGTTAATTTTCAGTTACTTAAAAAATTTAGAAAAAACTAGAAAACGCTTCTCATAGCGTTTTATTGCATAAAATTAAAAAAAGTACGCTTTTTGCTTCATATTGTAACTTAGCAGAAGTTGCTTCTCGCAATTAGTGTTTGAAAATTTCCACGCTAGAGTAGTGTCGCAAATCAAAATAGGAGACATGCGCAGTGCTCTTCACGTCTATTGGTGTTTTACGGTTGATTCACCCGATTAAAAAGCGTTTGCACAGAAAAAAAAAAAAGAAAAACCACAACATAGGTAGTGCTTCAAAACACTAAAATGTAAGTGTTCAGGCACAAAGTACAAGCTCGTGAGTAAAGATCGGGTCGTGACTCGCGAGAAAGAACGTATTAACAACTTTGTGCAAGGCCAACTTGACGCTCGAAATGTTGGAATAGACGATTTGGAAAGTTCAAAGAATGGCTAAATTGCACCCCCCCCCCCCCCCTCGTTCAGTGATATATTATTCATAAAACACTGGAAAGTAACGACAAAAGTAACGTCGTTACCTTCATCGTTACCTCAGAAAAAAGTAATGGAACTACAGTTACAAGTTACATTTTTTAAAAAAGTAACTCGTTACAGTTACAAGTTAACAAAAAAGTAATGAAGTTATATGAACGCATTACTAGTAACGCGTTACTACCCAAGACTGACTGGAGGGCCCATCGGACAGTTTCGGGTTTGCGAAAGCGGTTCCCTAAAACTCCCTAGTGTGAGTAGATCATCTGCTGTACGATGTATTAGCGGTGGGACTACGGTTTAAAGTTCCTATAGAATCTTTTGATATAAAAAAGAATAAAAAAACATGCGTGCATTTTTTTTTTACTTACAGTCGTGTTTTGTTACTACGGGCTCGGTTAATATGGTTACACTGCTATATAGACTACATTTACGGGATGAACTCAGTAAATGCGTGCATTTTGTCTCGCCATTATAAAAAACACAAATTATGGACAGCTTCTTTTTAAGGGTCGGAGGTGTCCATATTGACGAAACATCACTCTACGTGTTTTCTTATTAAACAATTATGTCCTTGCATACAAACTCGTGGTATGTAAAGAAGAAAAAAATATCACTTTATGTCATTTTCTTACAGTCTTCTTCTTTTTTTCGTTATTTTCCCATTTAGGACGCCTTCCGCCCCCACGGAGAGGCAGGAGCAATAGCACCACAAACCCCCTGGACCAAGTTTACCACGAAATAGCCGTCCTAAAGAAACTCAATCACCCAAACATCGTCAAGTTGGTCGAGGTGAGTCGGGCAACCGTTTCTCGTTCTCCATGATTGGTCAGAGGTTAAAAGCGCGCGACATCTGGGCAACGATAACACCTTGCGCGGACGCCCGCACTAGGGTGCCTTCATGTGCGCTTTGCTTAGGGTGGCGGCATCTCGCCATTTTGTCCCACACGTTAATTTGTATTTTTTGTTCAGAAGCGCGTGAGAGAGCGTGTCCCTGCACGCGTCTGTGGCGCTGACTGTGCTATGGCAACCCTGTCCTATTAATCGCACAAAAAGTGTCTTTAAACATGTCCGAAACATTAATATGCATATCTTGATGCGTCTCCGCACATTACTCCGTCGTCATGCTGCAGCAAACACCGTGCCTTTTTGCTCGATGTACAAGCCGTGCGACTGCGGCCTCAGGTTTCGATCGATTTGCTGGTTCACTATGATGACCCTCGCTGCTGCGCCACTAAAATTCATATTCCTATCTTCTATCTTGGTTTTAAAAGCGCACAAAAGACGAGGACAGAGTAAGAAACACAAACGACGGACGAGCGCTCTTACTCTGTCCTCGTCTTTTGTGCGCTTTTAAACCAAGATGAATAACTACCAACTAGCCCAACTTTCTACCCTACTCCTATCTTCTAATTTCTATAGCCCAGTGATGTGATTTCTGCGCCATTTGTGCCAAACTGCGCCAGAGTGCCAAAGTAACGACCCGGTCGGATCTTTACGACAAGCTTAAGCGAGTTTTCGGAAATTTTAATTATCGCCCCAAATAGCGTACTATTCGATTGCATTTCCTACCAAAGACTGAGAGTACTACTCGGAAGTTTCGTAATAATTCTCATGTTCGCGGCCTATCCTGGCGATTTAGTTAGTTTCGTTGAGTGCGCTTCTTACCGCGCACGGGTGTACTGCAGAGAAGTGGCCACCGCGAAAAGACAAGGCAGCTTTGCGTGTCTTGCTTCGCCGCAGTGCACACGCGTGTGAAGAAGAAAGCACCCCTCCAAAGCGAGACGTGGCTCAATTTCCGAATAAAACATCGGCTCGTATAATACACCTTTTTAGAGCGCAGCTCTTAGGGGCCCGTTCCCGGCTTGAGCGGCGTCGCCGTCGGCGTCGCCGTCGCCGTCGCCGTCGGCGTCGGCGTAACCAAGGTCATCCCAAGGTCACGTGACCCCCTGAAGGTCACGTGACCCCTCGAGGTCACGTGACCCCTTCCAAGGTCATCTCAAGGTCACGTGACCCCAAGATGACCCACGTGACCATTTGAAGGTCACGTGACCCCCAAGTCACGTGACCCCTCAGGTCACGTGACCCCCGAGGTCACGTGGTCGCCTCCCCAAGGTCACGTGACCCCCGAGGTCACGTGACCCCCAAGGTCACGTGACCCCTTCCAAGGTCATCTCAAGGTCACGTGACCCCACGTGACCCCCAGGTCACGTGACCCCTCTGAGGTCACGTGACCCCTCTGAGGTCACGTGACCCCCCGAGGTCACGTGACCCCCTCCAGGTCACGTGACCCCCAAGGTCACGTGGGGGTCACCTTTGGGGTCACGTGGCCTTGAGGTCACCCCCAGGTCACGCCTCCCCGAGGTCACGTGACCTCCTCCCCGAAGTCACGTGACACCCCCCCCCCCGGAGCATATTAAAGAATGAGGGGAGGAGGAGGAGAAGGGGGAGGGGTCTACCCTCCCCTCAGTACCCTTCACTCCTCCTCAAGAGCTGCGCTTCAATTCGGCGTTACAGGGATTTGTAAACGGCTTTCACTTTTTTAATGTATACAGATCTACAACCCAACATGCGATCTTTCCAGTAGCGAACTCTTTGCGCATGGCGGAGAAACACACTCTGGCAAAGCAGTAATGAGTGTGCGGGAGGAGCCTCTGGCACATTCTCAGCTTGTGCCTGGCTCTTGGCGATTCCAGCGAAATCGAAGGCCCCTATAGACCTTTCCAATGTTTTCAAAATCACAGTCCAGTGTGCGATATTCACAGTCCAGCACGTGCGTGTTCGCCACTTTGGAAAGCGAGCAAAATACGCGTCATACGCACGAACACTCAAAATGTCACCGGCCACACGCTCTTTTTGGGAAACGTCTATAGCAGCTAGAACAGAAAGTTGTGGCGGCAGGTTCGCTCTCCAGCCCTCTCGAGCGAATCAGGTATTCACGGCACCTGGCGATCAATATAGACGAAGCCGTGAAAGCGGGTTAAGAAACACGCGAGGAAAGTCGCCAATAGATTATGCGCGCCCGGTTATGGCGCCTGCAACGTAATATTAATTTGTCAGTTCAGTCCGCAGATGCCCTGCAGCGCTACGCAGGCGTGCTCCAAATCATAGGGTTACGAGCCCAAATGCCTCGCGTTGCATCCATTACCCCATCCTTCCTCTGGGGCATTCCACGGAGCCCAGGATACCCCACAAAGCGGTTTATGGAAAGGGCTTTTTTTGGCTTACGGCACATGCACTAACTTTGGAACGTTCTACAAAGTGCGTGCGCAAAAACCAAGCCCGGGCCTTTTCTTTTTTTTTTTCTTTTGTGCCCGTTTTTGACGGTTGTTGCTTTTTTTTTTTTTTTTTTCTCGCCAAACTGCACATTTTTTGTCGTCCGCCCCCCGCCCCCTCTTTATTGCCTGAAATACGGACACAACCCAGGCCTGGTTGATAAAAGTGAGATTTTGGCCCGTTTTAAACGTATAACTTTATTTTACAGATTTTTGTTTTTATTACGTTACTGCAAAAAGTTTTATTTTACAGCGAGAACTACTTTACGGTTAGCCAGAAGGGAATTAGGCAGATGATACAAACAAACATATCCGGGCAAAAAAGACGGCCATAAAAGAATAATAGCCCTCTTATTACTTTGTTGTTTCTTTTTCTTACGTTGCTAGTTGTTTTTGTGCTATGCGAATTAAGTAGAATATGCTGCTAAGTATAGTTAACCTGTTACTTTGTCGTTGTTGTTGTTTTTCGCTGCTTGTTATCGGTTTGAATAATGGTCAGGCAACCTCATGCTAATTCTTTTACGCGCCACTCTTCCGGCACTATTTTATATTCGGATTCGTGCCCGTGGCTGTTAAAACTATATTTTCCGACCCTCTATTTATTTTGTTCTCCTACATAACTTTCTAGCTACGCCCGCGTCTTTCTTTCAGAGCGCTAGCATCGTTCATTCCTTTCCAACTATACGCCGAGAGTCATCCATAATCATTCATAAACGGGGTTCTCTCTTTTCATCTCACGGTGATCCTACACCAACTATGCCGCCGGAACACGATGAATCCCCCACGCCAGAATCGCACCGTCCCTGTTATATTTTTTTCTGGATTCGGTATTTTGTCGACTTGGAGTTTCAAGCGTAGTTTCTTCGATCAAGCTCCCGATGTGGGCGTTTTGCAAACTCGAGATGCACATGATGGAACATGCTTCAGATAGCCCTGTTCTTGTTTGCTTATTTGTCTATCACCCTGTGGGAGCAAGCAAGCAAGAAAGCTTGCGTCTTATCTCTTTGAAAGGCTTCCTCGAATTCTGAATAAACAGTCAGGGGTAGGGAGCATTTTCTTCTCCATTTTCTTTCCATCTGTTCCGACGCGACTGTACGTCCTTCGTAGCAGCGGCAGGTTTTTGTTTGGGACGGTCTGAAGCTAGTTTCACCGAAGATGAAGCGAAAACAAAATCCAAAATTCCAATATCTCAAAATAATTGTTCGTACGAGTGACTACATTTACGGCACGAATTTTCTAGGAAATAGATGATAACGGTTTGATTTTCCAGAATGTAGGCCAACACCTTTTAGGTGCAACATTGCCACTTCGCTTTAATTACCCCCTTTTTTTTCGTTTTCTTTTTTTTAGAGGGAGGGGGGGTGAGGAAGGGAAGGTTGCAGTTCAACCACCTGGTCCACCGAACCAGACGAAGGAAGGCGTTTCCAGCAACCTCACCACCAGCAAATCATCGTTAAAAGACGCTGATTTACCAACAAAAAAAAAAAAATACTAAAGTCGGTGGCAGGTCAAGAACAAAGTAAAAGCTCCTCCCTACCTCTTACACTTTAGTAGAGCGAACGCTGGAGAGCAGGCGATCTCCTCTCCACCGTTCGCTCCGCTGAGTAACGTAGTAACGCTGGAGAGAAGGCGATCTCCTCTCCACCGTTCTTGACCTGCCGCAGGGTTAGCACGGGTTGCCTCAAGCCTCAGCCCAGTAGTTTCCGTTTGGCTGCAAGATTAATTTACGTTTAAGGCCTTAAAGTATGTTACTGGGTATTTTCACATTTCTTCGTGATTTAGAAAGTCACGTATACACTTCTTCAAATCCCAGTTCCTCTGCTCGCACACCGCACAAAAGACGAGATGACAGAGATCAGCCGCGGAGACGCCTCCCTCATGTTCGGACATGTCTTCAGGCAGGTTTTGTACGAGTGGCAAGAACATCGTAAAAGTAAGAAACACGCCTCAGAGAGTGTGTGCAAGCTGTTAAATATATATATATATATATATATATATATATATATATATATATATATATATATATATATATATATCAGCAGTTTGACCGCGGTTTTAGATTTTAATATGACATGTCTCGATCGGTAGCTTCTAAGAAGTGACGAGGAAAGCTTTCACACAATTGGAGTACTTCGTGCAGTTTTAGAGTGAACGTCGTGTAGACTGTGACCGACCGTTCGAAATTTGAGTCGACGCTAGTTTGAAGTTTGGGGACCTGAAACATTAGGCCCAAATAATGAAAGCCCAACAGATACTTCAATCTTCTCTCGTCTTATGATGCGAGATCCGTGCCCATTAATATTTTTATTTTTCGATTATTTGTTTTTTTCTATTTTTATTAATTTATTTATTTTTTCTTTCTTTCTTTCATGTGCATACATACTTCTTTTTTTTTTCACGAGCCCTCAGGGATTAAGGGATTACGGAGCGGAGTGGTAACATACTGTAGTGACGAAGTAGCAAAGTGCAGTTATTATTAGTACAGCCAAACGGCCCTTAGTTGTATAATATCAGCTATAGCAATCTTGAACAGTTGATGACCTTGACTGACGCTGATGGCGCGGGAAGCCGAATTCGCTCTTCTGATTCGAAAAAAAAATCTAGTAATTTGTTATGCGAATGTGTGGCTTTCGTCCGAGCTTAAACTTAAAGCCACGAGGCTTCAACCGATCGCCGTTAATCTAAGGCTGCCGAAATAACAAATAACATGCAGGCGAGCTGCTGAACTCGCGTGTGTTATGTTGTCCACTTTTTTTTTTTCCTAAGTCTCGTGTTTTCAAGATGTTGTAAGACGGCGCCTTTATTGTGTGTGTTTTTTAATCAGACACGAATCTATTAATTTGGGCTGTCTACTTCTAGATGATCGAATGGCTCGCCAGTAATATTAAAATTTTATAACTTCCGTCAAACGTGTTCGGTTGTTTGTTTGCTTAGACACCGGAAAGCCAGTCAGCCCCAATGGGCGTGTGGTATCTCCACGGTAAATAGGCGATTTTGCCAGAGCGGCATACCACCGCCAATCTGTGCTCTTTAACGTGCATCGCGCAGCAGTGATAGACAATCACACTCCGGGACAACGCTAACGGGCACAATAGACGCTTTTCAAAAGTTCATCGAGCAACACTGAGTGCCACCATTGCTTGCTCACGAAGCGCGTGTTTGGATCCGAGTTCTCGCCGAGCGCTGACGTCATACTCTCTTTTAATACGGGCTCAGCCGAGTTCACGACGAACTCTGACGCAACACTCGTGTCCAGTACACGCTCGGAGTATGCGAGCAAGGAGTGGCCAACAGCCGCTGGCGCGGACTTTTGAAAAGCTTAGGAGCCCAAGGTTCTGCATCGCGAGCTTTTGCTCCACCCGCCCGGAGCTGCAGCGCGCTAGCAGGCTTGGCCACCGATTCCCCTAACTTATGTGCTACGAGTGTCAACATTAAGTCTCGAAAATAGCCCGTGAAAATAGCCGTCTGGCTGCACATCTCGCGTCCCCTGCGACTCATCTCTAATGCTGTCATTCCTTTTTCCTTTTTTTTTTCTCTCTCTATCTTAACGTAAAGATATTATTTCTGCCTCTTTTATTTAAATATTATTTTATTCGTATGTTCGAATCCTTGGTGCTTGGTATAACCTGACGTTCATACCCTTTTATGTGTTGATGTAAACAAAGTCGGTAAAGCTTTTTTTTTCTTTCTATTTTTACAATGGGGCAACAAAATTCGCTGGCACAATTTAACATCATAAAAGAAAAAGAAAAAAAACACTTCTAAAAACCTATTAAAGAGTTGTAAACCTCCCAGTGCTAAACATTTCTCCGAAGAAAGTATAAGCTGCTGGCTATCCGAGCTTTGGGACTTTAAGCTTGCAGGCGGTGTCGCGTTCACGTCATAAAACCTGAGCTCAGGAGCGGCCGGTGCATTGAGCCAACGTGGGTTTACGACGCCATTTACGGGCAAACAGGGACAGCCGCCGCCAAAGAATTTCCAGCAGGTGCGAAGAAAACCTATTGGCTCCAAAAGTATATAGTAACAGGAACAGCTTCTGGTCGCACAGCCCTAACTATGCGGAATAGAAAGAAACTGCCACAGGCAACAAAACAAAAAATCCCAAATGCAAAAAAAAAAAAGTGTGGACGAGCCTTTTTAAGGCCCGTAAACGTTGTCAATCGATGCGAATGAATTTATCAATAAAGCTCTAATCTATAGCATTGAAAGAAATGCAACGCCTTTTTTCTTTTTTTTTTTCTTTTTTTCTTTCACATGCTGCTGCAAGGCGATTTGCGTCATATTTATTTGAGCTTGAGGCTCATACATGTTCGCTTATTTGGGATTGAGGCTTATAGCTGTTCGCTTCAACAACAACAAATATGTTATCAATCTTTTGAGGTCCGCCGCCGATGCGCCGAGTATGAGGCCAGTCCTTGTTATCGCAACCGCCCTCACTCTAAAAAAAAAAAAAGCCCGTGCGTCTACATTCCCTCAAAACACTCGGAGAGCCAATCACCGCAACTTGCGGAGGCAGCTCAGCAAATGACGATGCCTAAACGTATGTTTAGACCAAATAAACGCAGTCTGAGTTCTGGCATTAAGCAATGCAAGCGTGACGTTCTGCATTGATTAATATCACAACTCATACTGCGTTTTTTTTTTTTTTTTTTTTTTGTTTAAACACATGCTTCGGCATCGTCATTTGCTGAGCAACCTCCGCAAGATGCGGTGATTGGCTCCCTGAATGTTGTGCGGGAAAGTAGACGCACGAGCTTTTTTAGAGTGCTTGTACGTGCGCCTTTCGAAGCCTTATTCAGCGTTAAGCTTATTCAGTGTTCCAAGTTCTAACAACACACGAAGGTGGTTGAAGCATATAGAGTCACTAAGGGCGTAAGAAACGCGGGGCGTTCTCGCTTCGTGATTGGCCCTTGGGCGTTCTCGTCGGCATATGCCGAAATCTGATTGGTTGCGGAGCAATATAATGAGATGCGCGCGTCTCACCGCGCCCTGCTTTCTGAAGCTGTCAGAAATCTCCTCGTAGCTTTAGAGCGGCAGCCGCGGCGTTTCGCTAAGCCCAACTTCTTCGAAACCCTGAAAAAGCTCAAGTTCTTGGTCGCACGTCGGCTGCGTCGCTGAGGCCTCCGGAAAGTTTATTTTCCAAGGATACATGTATGGGCACTGTCAACTTAAGAATCTATGAGCGTGGTACGTTGTTTCATCCATCCTACAAAATTCGCATAACACAAAAACAACTATCAACTTAAACAAAAAGAAACAACAAAGAAACGAGAGGGCTAGTATTTCGTATGGTCGTCTTTTTCGCCTGGGAACTGTTTGTTTATATCATCTTCCGAATTCACGCCCGGCCAACCGAAAAGTGGTTCTCGTCGTGAAAGAAAACTTCTGACAGTAACGTTTTTTGCCTTTCCTCGGTAAAACAGTAGCCACAGTTAAAAGAAATAGATTTTAAAAAACAATAAAATAGAAGTATACTCGTTTAAAACGGACAGAAATCTCGCTTTTACAACCAGGGCTGGTGTGCGTCCGTATTTCGGGCAATAAAGAGGGGAGCCAACAAAAATTTGCGGTTGCGTTAAAGAAAAAAGAAGAAAAAAAAAAAAACGTTGAAAACATGCTTTAACGAAACAAACCAAAAACAGCCCGGGGCTTAATTCTAGCACACGGACTTCATAGAAACACATTCCAAAGTTAGCTTGTGTGCCGTAACACAAACGGAATTCCTTTCCTAGACCGCTTTGCGGTGTCTTCTGGGCTCCGCGTGGAATACCCCAGTGGAATGATGGTGTAATGAAAGCAACGCCAACGAAATTGCGAGATTGGCCAATAAGAGCACCGAATAACAAATAAAAAAAGCAAGAAACCACGCCCCATATTTCTTCAACTCCTGTTGACTATCGTTCTGTCTCTTTCTTTTTTTTTTTCCGAGTGAGAACGTATTTTTTAGATTGCATACAAATCTTGTAAGCAGGATTACAGAGTGTTCCACTAGCTGTGTTAATCTTTGTCCAACGCATTTATGTCTTCTGTCTTATTTTTGTGCAGGTTCTAGACGATCCTGATAGTGATAATTTGTACATGGGTAAGTACCCTTGCTTCGAGATACTAATGAGAGCAATGTTTGTATCTTGCGTGACATTTTTGATCGTATTCTTAACGCATAATGTGCTTAATTATCAGCCGAATTCAATGACAAAGCCGCCATGAAGAAGCCTCACAAAGAACCGTCACAAAAGACTGGGACATTACGGTGTTAGCTAGGTGACAGCATGTAGTCACGCGTGATATAGTATAGTGTTGCATTTGGATAAGGAGCATCTCACTAGCGCGTGCGGGATTTACCTGAATGCTCCAATATCGCGCAATTTTACTCCGTCTTAACGCCGTCAATATTTTCTTTTCAGTTTTCGAATTTCTCGAGAAAGGGTGAGTGGAAGCTTAATATAGTTCACCTGTCGTGAAGTATTGGTTTTTTTCATTGATCGTTCTTAAGCGAAGAAGCGTTTTCTGAGGATGTTTATCTCCGATTATTAAATACGATCAGCAGCACGCTTAGCGCCAGCTGTCTTCGGTCGATAAAAAGCTAATTCTATCATACACACGTGTTTGAACGCTACAATTTAGTGCTGCCTATTTTATATTTTCAACGCACCACCTATAATTATTCTAATATATGTTCGTTCTGTTATCTGGGTCTAATCAACTTGTTTTCGGTAAAAAGTTCTTGATGGGTTTCTCATTTAATCTTATTTCTTTTTTCTTATTTTTCTTTTACTGTTGGGTGTTCGAGAAAACATTACCTGCCTGGGATTCGTTGCCCACTGGCGTGTTTACCGCGTCCAAAAAAGTGGTCCCTCGATATGAGTTCAAGGATGACGTCATAGATGAGTCATGCTTTCGCGATCCTGGCGCTTGTCACAGCAGCGAGGGTGTACGTGGCAGATTCCCGTTCTGCTGCAGGTCGGTCTCCAGCTGGACAGTCCGCGGAAGTTTCGGCACCCGGGACTAAGTTATTGGGACGCGGCGACGACAGCGACTCAATCGCGTTCACTCGTGCGTGATCGCCAGAATTTCCTACCACCAACCGCCAGGATCGCGACATCCGACAGTGTGGACCTTTGGCTTCTCTGACGTCATTTGTTGCCACTTCGGAACCCACTTCTGGTGCTATGTAAACACAGTCGTCTGAGAAGCGTTCCAGGCAGTGTTGACGGTGACGCGTTACAAGTAACGTCATTACCGGTAGCGCTTTACTTTCTCTTTTTTGCAGTAACGTAGTAACTTACTCGTTTCTTTTTCAAAACAGTAACGTGTAACGTACTTGCGTTGCTTATTTCAAGTAACGGGTAACGTAGTTACGTTACTCGTTGCCTCTTCTCAAAACCCAAAAAGAAAAGGTACACTTAAACTTTTTTCGTGTTTCTATACTTCGTTTGACCTCAAGTTTAGACGCAGTCCACTCTACGAGCTGTTGGGTCCACTGAGACAGGATGAAAAGAGCACCATTGGTGGTATTCGCCGTGTTTCTGTACGTTCTCTATTGTCACTGAACCAATCACAGAAAAAAAAAGTCCCAGTGACTTGCGCTTCTGACGCTGTTTGGTTGCTCCCATTAGCTCGTAGCGTCGGCTGCGTGTGTACTTAAGCTGAAACGAAGTATAGGTGACGAGTCATTAATTATTGCAATCATTCCACTTACTTTAAAAAATTGGCTTGTCTTCCCCACGCAAAAAAAAAAAAGTTCCACTGTATAAAAACCCCAACGCCCACGCCCTTTGTCCCAGTGTCAAAAAAAGCTGTCACCAAAAAAAAAAAAGAAGAACGCTGTTATCGTCAATTTATAAATAAAAAAGTAACGCAAAAGTAACATGCGTTACTTTTGATCGGTAACGGCGACTCGTACCTGTCATTTTGAGTTAACGTAGGTCGGTAACGCGTTCCTTTATTTGGCAAGTAACGAGTAACCGTAATCTTTTTTTTTCTTTTTTTAAGGTAAGGCCTACAACACCGTTTCCACGCACCGTCAGTATGACGTCACCCTAACATCTGATCAAGCGCGGGCAGAAATCGGCCACGAGGCTCGAGTTAGCGTTCGGCCCGGACTCGTGTTCGACCAATCCGTTAACCAATCGCTGAGCTCGCGTCGTCTATAGACCTTTCCAGCGCGCTTATCACCCAGGCGAAAAATGCTTAGTCACTGGGCTGTGGACGCATGCGCGGCGTCTCATATTTTGTGGAAGAGAGCAACTGCGCACGCTCAGAACGCGTTTCACAGCCCAGGAGTCAAAGATGGCAGCGCCCAGAAGGCGATTAATAGAAAGGTCTATAGCGCGATGACATTTCACGAAGGAGGCAGTTCGCAGATGGATCATTCCGTAGTCACAGAGGGCTCCAGAAGCGCGCAGAGCGTGGCTTATGTACGTTGACGCTTCTTGTTTCGTGATTAGTCCTTCGGAATTCTTTATCGGCTAACGCCGCGATCCTATTGGCTGCTGAGCGATATATTGAGATACCCATGACTCGCCACGCTTTCGGTGATTATAGCCGGTTCATTCACGAGCTCAGCTATGGCCGCGAGGGAAATGCTTATACCGCATATCCTCGAGTAAGAGATGCACTCATTATGAACAAAGCCCGCGCTTCAAATTTCCCGCGGAGCACGCAGATAGACGATAATTGCGTGGGAGTCCCGCGACATTACACTCTAAAAAAAAGCCCGTGCGTCTCCTTTCCCGCACAACACTCGGAGAGGCGATCACCGCAGCTTACGGAGGCAGCTCGGCGAATGACGATGCCGAAACATGTGTTTAGACCAAAAAAAAAAAACGCAGTCTGAGTTGTGACATTAAGAAATGCAAGACTCAGACTGCGTTTTTTGGTCTAAACATATGTTTCGGTACCGTCATTCGCTGAACTGCCTCCGTAAGTACAGTGATTTGCTCTCCGAGTGTTGAGCGGAAAGTAGACTCACGGACGTTTTTAGTGTGTAGGGGCAGAGAGATAACGTTCCCACGCGAAAACGCTATCTGCTCGAAGAGCATTTTCGCAGAGAGTCGCTTTCTCGGCCTCATTATTCGGGCAATATGAAGTCGAAGCAATATATAGGTATGCCCGTGCATTTGCGCACCTCGAGCGCCGATCAAAGCTGCGCACACTCGGTCTTCTGAAGCGCTAGAAAACGTTGTCCGAGAGCATATTTTTGGAGCGTGCGCTGCGAACTGTCCGACAATATAACCATATAGACGTGGTGTGTCGTGAATACGCCAACACGCTCTTGACAAAGAAGCCCGCATTTATCTAACACAGGCGTATCATTGAGCGCGCGCAGAAACCAGATTCACGCGAGGTGAGGCGTCCACGCATGTGCAGTGCGAGCAGCAGCGCCGCCGCAGGGGCGGGACGTTAGAGAATTGATTCGGTGTATACGCAAGTTCGTCTGCTTTTTTTACAGGGGGCTGTGGTGACGTCAGAACGCCGAGTTTTTATTGGCTCTGATTGAAGGATAGTAGGTAGACCTCGAGGGCAGCTTGCTTTGAGGTCTACCCGCTGTCCTTCAATCAGAGCCCATGAGACCTCGGCGTTTTGACGTCAGCACAACCCCCTGCAAAAGACGCAGACGAACTTGCGCTCCACATTCCCCCATAGCAAAAAGAGAGAGAGTGACAAAAAAAAAAGAGGTCGCAACGTTGTTTATTTTAGAGCAGTTGATTGTCATCGTGCGAGTAGACGGGGCATTGACGCCAGACGGAAATATGGGAACACTAAGTTTTGCCTTCTTTATTCTGAATATTCGGTATTTGTTTGCCCTCCATTTAATAGGCCGGTGATAGAGATCCCAACGAAGTCGCCGTTGAGCGAGGCTCAAGCCTGGACCTTCTTCCGAGACGTCGTTTTAGGAATCGAATACCGTGAGTATGATACGCTCACCCTTGTACTATACAGTTATCGGAGAACGCTAGTTTTATAACATCGATAGTTACGGACTATACGAATGAACTCCACTTTGAAAGAACCCTACTTCACGCAGATGTATAGAAAATCGCTTCATGTGGTGCTCTGTGATGCATTATAAAGCTAGCCACCTCTGTCTCCACTGCCCTCGTCGAACGCGCGGCGAATGCGAGAGCCAAACTCCAGACGTCTTGCATTTTAACGCGTTCGACGAGTGCACTGGAGACAGAGGCTGCCAGCTTTAGGTCTACCCACTAATCGTTCCAACCAGAGCTTGGCATTTTGACGTCCCCGCGCTCTAGCCTTCTCCTCCCCCTCAGTGTCTCGGCGCATAGGAACAGCGCTGATGCAACGCCGACGGGATTGGAAGTTACTACAGATGCAACGCTGTACCATCATTAAAATGGGAAATCAGCGCTGTATTAACTACGTCAGCGATCTTTCCAGCGCTGACTTTTACGTTGAGGTAGCCCCATGTCGCATGTGGGAATACGCTTTAATCATAGCCTCCTATATGCTGATAAAGCCTGACTGATCGCCACGAGAAGCGGCCGCCGAAATGCAAAAGGTGGAGCGGCAGAGAACGGAGGAGAGGAGAGCCACGTGACGGGCGCCCCGCTGCGGCGAGACGCCGAAACATACTTCTTCCGAGCGAACAAGTGTGTTTCGGGTCCTCGCCGCTGCAAAAGCTGTGCGCTGACGTCCAGATTCCGCGAGAAATGGCTCTTTGATGCTTTGTGCTAGCAGATCCTCGAACTCCAAATCTACGACCGGGGACTCTATGGCTCCGTCGTCGAACTGCCAGTCTTTGTGAGCATAGAGGAGGCTATGCCTTGATCCTTCCAACCAGAGCCCGGTGCTCTGACACCACCGCACGCTATCATCTCCTCCTCTCCCTCAGTTTCTCTCCGTATAGCAGATGACCGCGTCGCTTTCCAGCCGTCTTCAGGGTCGTCCTCACCGCGGTATCGATTCTGCTTTCGAGTGGGACTATTTTTAATAATAACCCAAGACGCGTCCGCGCGAACGCACTGATCGATGCGTTCGTGAACAATGCAGGGTCGTGTCCTAGAATGGTTCGTTATTCATATGAGTTCGTATGGATTCTGGCGAGCGTAGGAAGCGAAGTACTCTAGCCGCCGAATGAATCGATCATCGATCCCGGATGAAAGATGTATAATGTGAATGATGGTTTCCTGAGCGAAAACAAGCGTGCGTACTCTCTCCTTAAAATATACAAAAAAAAAATCATATACTTTTTTTTTATCTCTGAAGTTGGCATGGGGCTTCGATCGTGGGCATACATTACTGTCAATTCTATAATGGGCCGCTGAGAGTTTGAGGGAGAGCAGGAGACGAGATCGCGCGGGGACATCAGTTATACAGAGCTCATGGTTGGATTGATTAATGTATAAACCTAAAGCTAGCTGGTTTTGTTTCCACTGCGCTCGTTGAGCGTATTTGAAGGCCAGAGCCAAACGCCGGAAGCCGGCGTTCCGCGTTCTATAACGCGATCGACGAGTGCAGCGGAGACAAAGGTATCCTCGGGTCTACCGAGGGTGCCTACATGTGCGCTTTACTTAGGGTGATGACATGTGGCCATTTTGTTCCAAACGTTCCTTCTTGTTTTTTTGTTCTGAAGCGTGTGGAAGAGCTGCACGCGCTCGTGGCGCTGACTGTGCTACGGCGACATTTTGTTTTCGACGATTTCTTCGTATTTTCTCTGTGAGCGCATGCTGTCGGCATCGGGTACTACAAAGGGTGGCATCATTCGAAGCAGGAGGACATTGGGGCACCCTTGGCCCAGAGCCGTATATGTAGAGAGTTTGGCCATTCGTTGGGAAGTATAGGAGACAAATGAGGAGGCGCCATTGGCCGAAAGCGGGCTGGCCGTGTTCCAGGGCGTCTTGACAAATTTGAATGTCTCCACTCTCTGAGAAAAAAGGGTATATTCTTACGCCCTTTGCCCATATATACTATGACACCCCAAAACTTCAGTTCGACGTTCAGCGCGCTGATGTTGAACCGACGTTCCCAATTTTCACAGGTGGCTTGACAGCTGAGCGTTACAACTTTTTAAAATAGCGAATGCACCTGTTATTGACTACAAAAAAGTAATCGTGTTTTTTTAACATTACTGCAAAACCTCAGTCTTTTCTTTCTCTTGTCTTTGATACGTACTTTAGTTGTTCAATGAGGTGAAGCTGAGGCCGTCGGTTCGACGTCAGCGCGCTGTACGTCGAACTGAAGTTTTAGGTTGTCGTATATGGGACAATCGGTGTAAGAATATACGTTTTTTTTTTCTGACAGTGCAACCAAAAGTCGGAAATAAAACCCTGGCGGTGGTTGCGAGAAAGAAACCTAATAAGTGCGTCGGAGTAACTCTCGGTGACTGAAAATATGGTTCACGTGATGTCTGAATCACAGTCATCCAAAATCATGGTGAAAGAGTGCGACTAGCGAAATGATCGACATAATCCGTACGCGAAGCGCCGAGGGCCGGGAATCTGCCGTCCGAGCGGTCCCGCTCTGTTCGAGCAAAACAGAGTTGAGCGGCGCATTTGTTTCTTACATCTTTCTGCATGATCATGATCGAAACATCACATGAACCCTATTTTCAACCATTTAGGGTTACTTCACTTCACTCTTACGGGCTTATTAAAACCATATACCAACATATACCTTGGGCCAAAACAGTTTCTCGCTGCCACCGCTAGGGGATTTTTTTTAGGCTTCTGGTTGGCCAAGGGAGCTTGTCAAGCACACTTTGTGCGTCTGGTGTACGCCCCGGCTCTGCCCGCGCCTCCCATTGACCAAACTCTCTGCATAAACGGCTGTGGGGCTACCCTGCTCTGCTTGCCCGGGAGAATTGCGGAGGCTCGCAGGTTCCCAATGGAAGCATACATGATACAAGAGACACTGCGGCTGCACTCGAGACACCTCACACAACATCCTCGCCATGACTTAGCAACTTTACCTACAAACAGACCATACTCCAGCTTTTCCAGGACAGTAAGAAAGCACAATACTACTGTAAATAATTTTGTTCAACCATCTATTAAGAGCATACCACCATGGACATTCTTGACTCCAGAAGTAGTGCCGTACATCAAAGGCATTAAGGAGTCAACTCCACTGCCTGTACTGAAACGACTGGCATTAAGGTACATAAATGAAACATATGACCCGGCAACAGTTTCTCGCTATGCCACCGCGGGGGGTTCTTTTGAGGCTTCTAGTTGGTCAAGAGAGAATGTCAAGCACTTTTTTTGCGTCTGGTGCACGCCCTGCTCTGCCGGCGCCTCCCATTGGCCAAACTCTCTGTATGCACGGCTCTGCCTCGGCCTACTTAGGTCTTGCCACTAATCATTCCAACCAGAGCTCTGCGTTCTGACGTCATTGTGGGCTCTTTGCTCCTCCTCTCCCTCACTTTCTCGACTCATTGCGCTAAGCGTTCATGGACTCAACTGAACTTCGTGCTGGTACAAATAAGTCGCGTCAGTTTTTGAGTGAATATTAATTCCAGTCAAAAAACGTACTTTCGTCGTTTTTTCGTAATTTTTTTATTACATTTGACACCGCAGCACCTTGATTATTTTTGACGCACACGATCCTGCGCCCACAGCCTGAACGCGGGTGCTAAAAAGTTTGCAGTGCCTCCACTGCGTTCTCTTTCCTCCTGATTTCAACGCCTTTTCCCAAACGCAGAGGAACCAACGGAGACAAACTAAACGTATTTTGCCATGTATTCTCTCTAAATTCAAAGATAGCTATCGAGTAAACGGCGAATGAATGTTACGCCAGAACCAACATTGAAATTTTCCCGCGCCACATGTTGTATAACTGGGATGCCGTGCAGGCATTTAGAAAACGCGCTATTTCGCGCATTTCGTTTCGTTCTGCTGGTGTCACCTTAGCCAGCATTAATTTGGCGTTATCAAACTTCGTGGAACTCGTCGGGAACAAGTTGTATCCTGCTCAAATTCGGGGAGGCACTGTGGACATAGGGCTGGTCAGTACTAAGTGATCTCATCTTGAAACTTGGCTTTTGCAGTTCATCACCAGAAAATCATACATCGTGACATCAAGCCGTCAAACCTTTTGTTGGGAGATAAGGGACGAGTGCAGGTAAGCAGCGTTGCAACTCATTTCAACCGCACTAATCCATCGGCAGATAACGAAGAGGGTTTACTGCATCAGCCGTTTATTCGTTTTTCACGTTTTTACACGAGTTATTCAGAAAACAATGTGGAGGGCAATTCGTCTGCTTCTTTGTAGGGGATGCGGTGACGTGAGAACGACGCAAAGCTTTGATTCGCTTTGACTGAAGGATAATGTAGGTAAAGCTCAAAGCAAGCTGCCTTGAGGTCTACCCACTATCCTTCAATCAGAGCCAGTTAGAGCTCGGCATTCTGACGTCACCACAGCGCCTGCAAAAGAAGCAGACGAACTTTCGCTCCGCATATAAGGAGCATTCACTGGGCGCCATATTTGTGGGTGCTGTTTAGAGCGCATGCTCAGAACGAGCCCACATTAATAGGCTGCTAAGACCGGCAATCTTGAGGGTGCGGAATGCACGTGACAAAAGAACTGTGGAAGCTCGTCATCAGCACGCGCTTAGCACTCGTGCACACATCTATGGCCGCCAGTGAATACTTCCTATACCGATCTCACTAAGCTTTCCACGCGAGCGTGACGCCGCCATATAACTGTAGTTCATAAGAGGCAGGCGTCGGTTTACGAGAGAGCTCGTGCTGCCTCGTGCTTTGGTCGCGCAGACTCTCAGCGGGGCTGTGTCGTCTCACTGGGGCTATCGCTCGTGCAGAAAGACTACAGTCCCCACGATGCATGGCGCCGCGGGGCTGGGCAATATCGGAATACAAATGTATCGCGACAATATTTTCGAAATTTTTTTCAGTATTTATATTTCTATATCGCGATGCAATTTTTCCATCGGTGTCTGTATTTCAGTACCATGATACATGATACTGATACCACAGCCTGCGAAAATTTGCTTGGTAAGCGTCAAGGACCAAACCGTTTCTCCTCCATTGATGCTCATAAGGTTTCATAACTCATGAGGTTTCATAACTCTTCGTTTCTGCGGCAGTTCCTTTTTTTCAATGTAAGAAAGGAAAAGCGGGTATCATGTGCTTCCGAGGTAACTTATGTGTGGCCACGGTGCTTGGCGCCTGCATGCTTCGAGCATGTACTGCTATTATTTAAACTATCCTTCTCTGTTTTCGTACCTGTATCGCGACGTTCTTTATTCCTGCTCGCTACGCCGGTAGCGTCCAGATATCAGGTCGGTGTTGCTCAAATAAACCTGAACTTCGCCCTATTTATAGTGTCGGTGTCGTTCAAGAAAACAGGCGGTATCCGTCTCACTGATGATTGTGGCAGCGTGTCGAAAATCGCATTACGGGATTTTGCTGAGCTAATTGGCTCGTACTTGCTAATGTCGAGAACGATTTATTTTATAAGAAACCCCAAAAGGTAAAGAAGTGGACAAGGACACATCAGTGGTATCCTTGTCCACTCCCTTACTTTTTGTGTTTCGTAATTCTATTCAGCTGTACACGTAAACAAAACCGCATTGATCCGGTGCTTGTCCGTGGGCTATATTGGTGCGACCAAGCTTTTCGGGACGCCGTAACCCTTTTTTTTTTTTTTTCTTCGTGTTTTGTGATTTGGGACATTGGCGTTTCGACCGAGGCTGTGTATGGCAACATCACCTTTTTCTCTGTCTGTTTTCTTTCTTTCTTTCTGTTTGTGTGACAGATCGCAGACTTCGGCGTTTGCAATCAGTTCGAGGGTGTGGACGCCCTGCTGTCGGGCACGGCCGGGACGCCCGCCTTCGTGGCCCCTGAAGCGCTGAGCGGTGAGCCTGTCGCACTTGGACCGAGATAATTGCTTAGAAAGGCATCGATGTGCATAGGGGGAGAATGAAACGAAAGCATGATTTAAAAAAAAAAAACACCGAGAAATCGTACAAATGTCGTTTCACGCGGTGTAAATTGTTGTTTGTTCTTGCTTTTTTTTAACGAATATACAACGCCGTAGAGTTACCATTGTTATTATTGCTGAGAAACCAGTTCGTGTAATATTATACCGTGTGCATCATTGCGCCATAGAAAAGGATTATCATTATATTTTAATCGATTTCCAATTTTTTTTTTAGATCAGTGTTTGTTGTTTTGATTAGTAAATCGAGAAGTTCTTGCGGTTAAAAAAAAAAAAAAAACCTTCCGACTGCAGCTTTGGTTTTCATTAGCACGGACCCTAAACAAAACTGGGGTAAGTTATATGGGTGCCCAAATTGAAATAAGAGCTGCGTTGTAACTAAAGAAGGAAAATTACATTTTAGTAGTCCTGCAGCATTGATAAATGACCCCCGAAAGCGTTGAACAAGTGTCCCCAAATCTCAAAGGCACAGATTCATCGACATCACACGGTACAAATGTTCACAACGGGTAATTCTGTGCACTGCCATGTTTTACTCTCACAGAATACAAATGTAAAAAAAAAACTATTTTTTGCGCTATTATATTTATACTTACATTTGAAAACGAGCGTGTTGGTTAATAGATACAAATCTTGCAAGAATAAAACAGAGAGGACGAGGACGGGAACAGGACATCTTTTATTTGGCAACAACATAGAATGGCACAACGAAAAAACCGCCCCCCCCCCCCCCCCCCCAAGGGTCTCACCGTACTCAAAGAGGGAAAGGAGATACTAGTTATAAAGGAAAGGGAAACACTAAATATAAAAGTTTAAAAAGCGCATCACTAATCTAGTTATCTCTGATTACTTAGAACTCGACCTTTGTCATTGTCAGTGATAATGCAGAATTATTCTTGTTTGCAGTCCAAAAGGAAACTGTACTATAAATATAAGACTTTAAAAAGCTGTAGCGTCACGACGAGGTGTCAATAATCTAGCCATGTCTGTTGTTAAGAATTCGACCTCTGTCTTTGTCAACGATAATGAAGGTGCAGAAATGTTGTTGTTTACAGTTCCCATGGCAAATGATTCAATGATTTCTCTCCCAAATCTGTTGTTGTGCCCGCCCAGTATTTTAGTTTCAGAAAAATGAGGAGTACAGTCGTCGCATGTGCGGCTGTGAACGACAATGGGGTGACAATGGGGAGATTTGGGAGAGAAATCATTGAATCATTTGCCATGGGAACTGTAAACAACAACATTTCTGCACCTTCATTATCGTTGACAAAGACAGAGGTCGAATTCTTATACTTCGTCTCACCCTACGATGGACTAAAGGCAGAAGCTACGAACAGCTAGATCCAATCACGAGCCACTTAGACATTGTGTGGCATTTCGCTTCGAAGCACGTATCGGTGCCCGCGTCTCGGATCACTGGTGGGAATAGGCCGACAGCGGTTCGGATCGAGCAATGAGTGACTCAACAATTTTACATTGCAAAGAAAGCCACTGCGTACTGGCTCTTTGCAGTGTCGAAACTATAAAAATGACGCAGCGTTTTTGGATTCGGAGCATTATTCGTCCAAACCTAATCAGTGCTAAGCGTGTCATAGTTTAGCGTGGAACGTGATTGGATCTGGCGGACAGTGGCTTTGGCTTTTAGTCCATCGTAGGATGAGACGAAGTATAACACCAGATATGGCTAGATTATTGACACCTCGTCGTGACGCTACAGCTTTTTAAACTCTTATATTTATAGTACATTTTCCTTTTGGACTGCAAACAAGAATAATTCTGCATTATCACTGACAATGACAAAGGTCGAGTTCTAAGTAATCAGAGATAACTAGATTAGTGATGCGCTTTTTCAACTTTTATATTTAGTGTTTCCCTTTCCTTTATAACTAGTATCTCCTTTCCCTCTTTGAGTACGGTGAGACCCTTGGGGGACGGTTTTTTCGTTGTGCCATTCTATGTTGTTGCCAAATGAAAGATGTCATGTTCCCGTCCTCGTCCTCTCTGTTTTATTCTTTCAAGATTTGTATCTATTTATACTGTGGCGCAAAAACTGAAGTGATTTATTAAATGGATGTTGTTTGTTTTTGTTTTGTTTTCTAAACTTTGTCTAAGTATAATTTCTTCTTGTTTGTTTGTTTATACATTCATTCATTTATTTATTTGAAATTACATCGCTGGGTTATAGGCGTAAGTGAAAAGGACGTGGGGGCGGTCGTATAGCCAGGCGCGTAATAATTCATTGTGTGCCCAGCGTGTAACGGGCCGTAGCTGCTGCCGGCCGTCTACGTATATTTGTCTTTTTGTAGCAGGCATTGTGTATCTCAAACTTCCGCTCAGAGTGCAGCATTCTGCCATATAAAAGAATTATCAACACAGCTTTTCTTATTCTTTTTTGTTGTGCAGAAAACAGGAACCAGTACAGCGGAAAGGTAAGCATGGAGTACAACGTTTCTCGAGACATTTTTGTTTTGTCTCCTCTTATGTGAATAATTTCCGGGCCAGGGGTCGCGAACGCATCAGCGAGATTAGTGTGCGGATATGTTAGTGTGTATTTATTTATTTATTTATTTAAATGCTTCACACACCCTCAAGGGGCATTATGTTAGGGGGGAGAAGAGGGGGAGGGGAGCGGTTGCAAAGCAGGATAAATGAAAAATACTGAGTACAAAAACAACAAAGTCAACCACACTTAAGTGCACATGCATCAAAGGCCCCAAAAAGTAGTTAAATCTTGGCGAAAAAGAAAACTTGATTACTTTGACAAACGATGTTATCGGGCAAGTCGTTCCAGTGAGCAAATGCGGATGGCAAAAACGAGCAGAAAAACAAGGATGACTTACAAGAGATAAGTTTAATCTTACATAAGTTATCGATGCGGGCTTAAACATATAGCGGTCAAAAGAGAAGTGATGAGTGAAGTGTGTGTGTGTGTGTGTGTGGGGGGGGGGGGGGGGATGGCGAATAATAAATTTTATGAAGAAGACATAGCTTTGATACCCTGCGGCGTATCTCAAGTAAATAAAGGTCAGCACGAGATTGAAGGTTAGTTACACTGGTATGACGTGAGTAATCAGAAAAAATGAAGCAAACGGCTCGGTTGTGAAGTGCTTCCGGGGAGGCAGATAGGTAATGATAATGAGGGTTCCAAATGCTGCAAGCGTACTCCAGGATCGGTCGAGCAACCGTGATGTATAGTAGTCGTTTAAAAGAAGATGGGGCAGAATTAAGCTTACATTTTAAATTACCGAGATTACGGTGAGCTCTTGAAAGAATGTAATTAATATGCATGTTCCATGGTAGATCGGAGGTCAGGTGGACTTCTAGTTATTTGCAAGATTGAACTAATTCCAGCGGGATATTTTGAATAGGATATTCACTAGGGTGCAAACAAGAATTATTAGGGCGAATTAAACGAACGGGCTTGCATCTAGAAAAGTCTAAAATCGTGAGCCAGTTAGCACACCATGAGCTGATATTTAGTAAGTCATCTTGAGGGGCAGCAGATATGATCGGTTACTAATCTGAAGATAAATAACCCAGCCATCGTCGGAAAGGCTAATTTGTGAGGTCAAGGAGTTAGGTAAATCGTTTATATATAAAGAAAAAAGAATCGGGCCCAGCACACTAGCACACTACCCTGAGGAATACCGGAGGTGACGGGAACAGGATTTGAACGATGGTTTTTAGCGATAATGTACTGGATCCTGTTATGCAAAAAGTCTTTAATCCATCTAGAAAATTACGCTAGACCATAAGCCGCTTTTACGTGAATGGCTGTGACCACAGTCACAAGGACTCAGTCCCCTTCTTTCTTTGTGTTCTATCCCGAATCGTAGTCGTCTTCTGTCGGTACGATCCGCCATTGCCGCAATCCTGTAATCGCAGCCATAGAGTGACTGTAGCGTCCGATAAGGCACGAACCATGGTCGTTCACGAGCTCCCACCGAGTGTATGTCCACTAGCAATAACAGAGCTTCGGATCAAAGTTGTATAACTATACAGAGTAACGCGGACCACGTCACGTGGTCCGCGTGTCTGGCCATAAAAGTCCCCTAGCTATAGAGGTACCTTTACTATCGTGTGAATGGGGCAGTATTACACCCCTTTCACAGGGCCAGCATAAAGGTACCTTTAACGTAGGTCCGTCCACATACAAGACCACGTCATGTGCCATTCCCCCAGAAACAAGATGCTAATCGTGTCACTTTCGGCGTCCCCAAAGTGACGAGATCCTCTCGCGACGACAGCTTAATCCGCGGGTGTTTTCGTCGTGCGTCATCGTCAGAAAGCCCCCGTTCCGCGCAGGCGGTGGACGTGTGGGCCATGGGCGTGACCCTGTTCGCCTTCGTGGTGGGCAACGTGCCCTTCCACGACCCCAGCGTGCTCATCCTCTACAACAAGATACGCAACCAGCCCCTTCTGTTTCCCGACTCGTGAGTATCCGTCCACGACTCAGAACTGCAACGTGCACCTCATCGTGCAACTGCTTCATGCTAAGAAGCCTAATTCAGTTGGTCCGATTCTGCTTGCGATTTTCAGTATCGACGTCGACCATCTCAGCTACGGTTTACGCTTTTGCAGCCCGAGCGGCGTCGCGACTGAAAATAGCGAGCGAAATCTCATCATGGGAATCAGGCTTTAGGGTACATACTGCGGCGTGTACGCGGAATGAATCGCCACATGTCGCATTATTCACGCGAAGTTTTGCGGTGTAACGAGCCTCGGTATTTTCGCTGACGCCACTCAAGTAGTCAGAAATCGCCAGGAAGGCGTAGAATCAACAATTTGAACGCGATAAAGGGCAGGGGGACTCACACCGACGCCGACAACATCGCATTTCAATGGTTTGTATATGGGCGACGGCGAGCTTCTTGCCCACACCCCCGTCGCGCATGCGCGGCGCCGGTGGCGTCTGCTAGGGGCGCTCCGGTTTGTTTGTAAACATGAGTTGGTGTATAGACCGATCTCACCATATAGTCACGTTCAACCGGCGCTAGTGAGCTGTAACTAACTGAAGCAGATAGCAGCCAATCGGAAATTGGCTGCTGGCAATGCATTTCTATGTAAACAAGCGAGTGATTTTTTTTTAACTGCGCTCGACTATAAGAGCAAATATCCCGAATAATTCGTACGTACTAGATTGATTAGAACATATTTCAGTCACGCAAACGAAGTAATCGGTCAGTTACGACATTTTTTATTTCAAATTCATGGCATTAAACATGGTGCTAAAGCGGCTTCGTACTTGTATGTATATGCACTGTCAGACACTGTTAGCGCGAACACGGCGTTGGCACTTTCCAGCATGGTCGATATACGTACCAAACGAACGAGGGACTTGTGGAAAACCTAGAGAGACGGCAAGAACTACGCAGTAACACTGAATCAATAACTTCCTGTGCATGCAGATGATCAAAATTAATTCAATGCTACGTATCATAGTCAGATTCGAAATTAATAATTACTGGTTTATTCTTTCTGTTTATGAATATGTGCGAAGGTGCTTGTTCTGCGTTCAAAACATCAACCTCACGCTCAAATTTTTGAAAATAGGGAGAAGCCAGAGAACAGGTGCCCGATAAAAGCTGCCCGACGTAGAAAATAATAAAAGGACACAGCTTTCATAGCCCACGTTCTTTATTCTTTACTTTTCGAACGTGTCTTAACCTCTCGTAAAGACGCACGATGGGGTAATTTTTATACTGTGACAGGACGGGCATGTTAGCAATAAATAAGCGTCACTGGAATTCTTGCGAACCTTGAACACACTGTACATTCATTTCAACTGTTATATTGCTTAGAATCGTCGCTTGTTTTCACATGCCTGCTACGGAACAGAGGTTTGGGCCTCAAATATAGCTAAGTTTGAGATCGCTCCGTGGTAAAGAAAAATGCTGTAACTAAATCAATTACATTTTTACAATTTTAATTAGGCTATATACTATCCGGTACGACCCAAATAACAAACGTTACCTATGTTATTTTCCGGTGAAGAGACGCGCACGCGCGTTGTACCTTATATACACAGGAGCACCGCAGAAGTAGACTGGTTGCTGTGTACTTCAATTTGCCACCGGGAGGTCGCATAAACACTCAGCGCCAGTTGAACCTCTAGCGTGCGTTATAATAACTCTATGGATGTTGCAGCCACTTTCATTACGCCACCGCTGCCGCCACGCATCGGGGGAACTGAAGTATTTTTGTACGCGCGACGGCCCCGCTGAGGGTCTGCACGAGATGGGACGCTTAATGAAATCAGTCTATAGACCTACTGCTAAACTACCCAAGCGTCAAGGAGAATGCAGGAATGAGTGTTCCACGAGCCACACGTGCTGGCCTCAGCAGTAGTAACTTTTTCTAAAGCAAATGCCTAAAACAAATGGCATCTTGCGCGCGCCTTCGTCGACGCTTTATTTTGGTTATATTTACTTCGAATCTTTTATAGGGGGAGGCGTGCGCGTGTGGCGCGTGGAACACCAATCCCTGCATTCTCCTTGAGGCTTGGGTAATTTAGCAATAGGTCTATTACCCCACGGCGACGTATAGTCATGTGGCACATTGATTGGACACGACCACTGCGTGAGTGCTTGGTTCGGGCTCGTGACAATCAATGCCTCGACTAGCATTCCGGTTAATAGTGGCTCGTGTCCAATCGCTTCAATGACGGGAATATCCATACCCGAACCCATTTAGGACTCATCGTGTGATCTGTGCTTTGCCAACCCCAACGCGTATGCGGGCAGACATTGAGGGAGAGGAGGACGCCAGAGTACGCGGGCACGTCAGAACGTCGAACACGGTATAGTGGGTAAACATGAAGCTAGACTCTCTTTCTCTCCATTGCACTCTTCGAACGCGTTCGAATGTGAAAGCCAAACGTCGGACGCCGGCGTTCCGCGTTCTAACGCTTTCGACGAGTACAATGGAGACAAAGGCTGCTAGCTTTATAGACGCTTTCAGCGCGCGCCAAATTGAGCCGCCATAGCCGCCCTTCTCTTGTCTTAAAGAAATGCCGAGCCACTGAAGCGGGCGTTGACGAGTCTCCACAAGGGCCTCTGCTGGGGAGAAGGACACAGTAATACTTAAAATGACAATGACCTGTCCTGCTGTGGTAATGATGAAGTGGAGCGAACGGAATAAGAGGGAACACAAACTGAAGGTCGGTTATGGCGGCGCCCATGCACAGCTGCCTGAAAGCGTGTATAAGGTCTACCCACTAATCCTTCCAGTCAGAGCTCGGCGTTCTGACGTCCCTCTCGCCTCCTCCTCTCCCTCAGTTTCTGCCCGCATAATCGGCGCCAGGTCATGTGGCCACTTGTTCTGGCAGCAAGGTGAGGGGGTCAACGCTGCCCGTTTTCTCTCGTTTCTTTTCTTTTCTTTTTTTTTTCTTTTTTTGCTACTCAAATTTTAATGCGTGGGAAAAAAACAACAACTAAAGCTTGTTTTGTAGGTTAAGAACATATGATTACGAACGTCAAATATTAAATCTAAGAAGTGTATTAACCGAGAGTATACAAACATCGGTGCATCGCTCTTTCAAGAAACGCCATTGTTTCTTGGTATGCGCAGCCCCCAAGTCAGCCCACCGCTTCAGGATCTCATTTCTGGCATGCTAAGGAAGGATCCTGAAGAGCGCCTTACGGTACCAGAAATTAAGGTCAGTATCCATCCGTCATACGCGTATATACTGCCGTTATATGTCGATGAAAAATCGCTTCAACATTTGCCAAACACCAAAAAGCTCAAGTCCATGTCACGGAACTATTAGCGCCGAAATGTTTCGCTGGCGCCCTCTTACGGTTCCTTCACTGACGTTGCAACAAGGATTTGCCCCGCCGTGACGTCACGAGTGGTGGTCCTGGCTACTTATCATCAGCTGCGAAAGACAAGTTCCACGGTGTGCGTGTGTGTAAAAAGCACGGTGGAAGCTTGAAGTCATCGCGTTTTTAAAACAGCACCGTCGAAATTAACAGTCTGACATTGCTACCGTTTCCGTCGATCAAAGAAGAATTAATCCCACTAGAGACGTCATAGCGAGCGTTTGGCCAATCGTGGAAAGTAAAGCCCATTTATCCTGGGAAACGTGGCGCCATTCATTGTTGTGGAAATGCTCGAGACACGTGCCGCGCGCCACTTCTGGGTAGAACAAGGCGTCTGAAATCTAGTTCAGTTATAGTGTAGTTCAGTGCTGCGCTGTGCCGCCATGATCTTCCCAAAGTCTGCAGTGCTCTGCACGTTGCACGTGCCTCGTGCATCGACTCAGCTTGCGCTACTTTTGAAACATGAAGGGGCTTTAGTGGGAAGCTGACCACAACGTCGCCTTTTGGTCGTACCAATAACGTTTGCTTATCAGAACCATATTATAAAGCATTCCTAAAGCTGAGTCATGGCGCCGTTCACACAGCACCGCTTGCTCACGTTGCGTTATGTTACGGGAGCTTACGTCAAGTAACCGGAAAATCCGTGCTTCGTATGAAGCACCAAGCCAAGGATGCATGCGGCAAATTCGCCTCGAGATCGAAACCGTGTCGCCACCGTGCGGCCGAAATTGGAAACGCGCGAAAGCGGGGATTCCGCCGTGCGTCGTCTGCTACGGGCGCATGCTCAGAAGCAAGGATCTCGACAACGCAAGTCCGTTTCAGGCTGAGCTTGACATTCCTTATTAAATGTTTTATGTTTTTGTTGCCGTTTCTTTTTACTAAAGGTTGTGCTGTATCGTATCCCATGCTTAGAAATTCAGCAAAGCGATTATTATTAAGTCGGAAGCTTTCATAAAAAAATCCCACGTATTTTTGTTATCCCGCACAAACCGTGGCTTTCATAAAGCATTGAATGTTGAGCGGGTCTGCGGTTTGATTAGAAAATTAACCCGACGGATCGCTATCCTTTAATAGACTGATCAATCAACAAATCCGTATGTTGATTTTTCGCCGGTCATATTGCGTGAGACGTTAAAACTATACATTTTTTTTACTGGTTTTGCTATGTCATAAATGGCATATTGCATTCCCATTCTAAACTTTACGTTGTGAGTCCTACATACATATCAACACGGGGGGCCTTTTAAGATGAAGTATTTTTTAAAGTTATTATTTAAACAGTACAATCACCCTCGGTGAAATGACAAGCACACTGAAGTGGTTTACCGTGCAAGCCTGTGTCACAAAAAAAAAAATAAAGACTTAAAAAATATATTAAAGCAAGCATTTTTTACTCCTTGTTGACTTTCTCCAGCACAAGACTCCAATAAACCGGCAAAACAAATTGCAATTAAAGCATTACTTTAATAATCTGAAAGTTAATCGATGAACTGCCCAATCCCGATATACGTTAGGTGAGGGCGGAGGGTGATCGGAGTCTCGCGAAGGTCGCTAGCCCTTATCAGTAAAACAGTGTCACTGCGGCCGATGCTGTCTATGTCGTGGTGCGCGTCGTTTGTTGGGGTTTCAGAATCTACTGTGTTTGAATACAAGATTATTTAGCCAGAAATTTATAGTATTAGCCTTTTGAGATTCGCGGCCCCCACCAAGAAAACTGAAGCGGGTGAACCCACACTCCCGAGAAAAGCATTTAATAACAGGAACATTGCTGCCTTACTCGGTTACACTCGTTTATTACGTACAGTCACGGCAGATATATTAGAACAGTTTGTTTCACTTGTTTCAGTTGTCCCGCCAACCGTGCCGTTTGCAGATTTTAACTAGAAGAGACACACTCTCCTCATCGCAACGCAGTAGATTTGTTCAGACTCCAAAAAACTTACCCACACTATGGCACAGTAAAACGGCAGAGGAACTCAATAGCATGGTGGTTTCCAATACAGCGCTAACTTATCTTTATTCTAAATATTTATATTACTGCAAAAGCTAGAAGTTAAAAAAAAAAACCATAGAAGCTGCGATTTCACAGCCCACAGTACCAGTGTTATGTTATCCGAATTGGAATTTATTGTTTTTTTTTTAATTCCCACGTTGATGAACCGAGACATCAATTTTAAAAGAAATAAATATTTAACATAAATATTATGTTCTAGTTGAGCCGGAGACAGGCCTCAGTAGTGGTGATCCATGCTTTCCAACGTTTGCCCAGAGCAGACGACGCACCCACAGAAGCGATTATATAAATTTAGGCCGCACGCTGGCAATACGATTCAATCTTCACTGAAGCACCAAACAGTACCACATCCTTTTCCGCTAGAACTGTTTTCCCACGGATAGTACGCGACAAAATAAACGCAAGAATCTACGCCGTCTCGCGCGTCAACGTAGAGAGCCTATGGGGCGGCCGTTCTCCTATCCCCGCTGTGATGATGATGATAGCGCGACCGTAGCGCCACCTCTAGGTCGATCTCGAGGTCAATACGAAACACGGATGTTCCAGTGACTCGTAACATAACTTTAAAAAAAAAGCATGGTCAAACGCCCTTGTTTGCACGGGTCTAATGCACCATTCAGACGGTGAGCATGAAGGTACCTTCAATATAGGTCCCAGGCACGTAGCCAGAATTTTGTTTCGGGGGTAGGGGGCCACCCATGACAAAATGCTTAATGAGCCGAAGGGGGGAGAGGAGGCCCCAGCAAAATGAACGATTTCGGGAGAGGCGGGAGTGGGGCCGGGTGCCATGCCCCTCCTGGATACGTGCCTGATAGCTCCCTTTGCAATTAACGAATCAGCACGGCCTCAGGCGTCAAGGGCACATGCCACGTCTGGAGGATCTCAAACTGAAACGCCGTTGGCCATAAAGGTCCCTTAACTAGAGGGGCCTTTACGATCGTGTGGGAGGGTTGTTAAAAGGACCACTGACAACCCCAAGATCAACTTTTTTTTCGTCTCGAACGCGTGGAAAAACACAGACAAAATATCATCGCGAAAAAACAGTTTGTTGCGCGAAAGAGCCCGTCAAAGTTTGTGTTCTCCTCCCCCGATTTCAGCACCTCCTCGCTTTTTTTTTTTTTTTACGTAATTCGCAAAGTATTATTATTGTACTTCCTAAAATACTCTTTTTCCGACGACTGTAAAGGACTGCTGACTTCAACGGCCGTCTGCTTTATAGCGTTTTCTTCATCCTCTCAATATAACTTAATGGCGGAAAGTTGGTCGGAACGGCGGCACGTTTCAGTTGAGGTCAGGATCCAACTCCCAACGATTTGGATACATTAAGGTTTTCCTCGTAGGCCTTGTCAACAAAGTTACGAGCAGAGATCAGGGGCTATGAGACTGGCCCCTGCAGCTGCTCTTCGGCGGTTGCGGCCAACCACGCATTATTTTGTGCTTCGCCTTTTGGAAGCCTTGTGTAGCTTTTAGATTTGGTAGTACTGGGGCAGAACTTCACGCAGCACCTTTGAAACATCGCCCTCACGTCGCTCACCAAGGTCTGCTACACGTTGTTTTCCTCCTTACCTTTTTTAAAAATCGATTTCGACCGACTAAAGCAAAAATAAAAGAGGGACTGAAAGGTGACGCGTCGTCTGCTCGCGAAGAAAGGTTTGGCTACAGTGTAGTCTGGCGAAATACTTTCGCGGTTGGCCGGGTGGCACGTGCACGTGCCCATAAACGATGAGAGGGGAAGAAGGAATGTTGAGTGACACTTTCTGGTTCACGTTATCCAAAACGGCAAGGAGTTCACCATTTCGCTCACTACGTCATAGATTCAGGAAGGTGTTTCAAATCAAGCAAGCTTTCTGAAAATATGTTTTTTTTGTTTTTTTTTTTGCAGATACGCAGTTTTCAAACTTAATATATTTAGGGCGGGCCCTAAGAATAATTTGCATCAGTTTGCAATAATACAAAAATATATATGTAAGGTTGTGAGTGGCCCCGTGAACAAACAGATGACATCAATCAATTTACAATCACATACAATCTCAAACGCAGCCGAGTTTATTCACGAGGAAACAATGATTTATTGCCATCCACACAGACAAGAAGATGGGAAGACAAAGAGACAGGACACTGGCCCCTGCAAGGAGAGGAAAAAGAGGAGACAAAAAGACAAGCCGCCGCAAAATCGGCGGAAATGAACAGTTCAGCCAACTTTGCGGCGGCCAGTCTTTTTGCCTTTTCTCTTTCCTGTTTGTGTGAACGACTATAAATCGTTGTTCTCTCGCGAATACCCTCAGCTGCGTTTCAGATTTTGAGTCGTCCTGTACGTTATTTTATTCCTCCTTGTCTCAGGGTTTATATTATATGGAGTGAAACCCCCTTCGCCGCTTTCACGAAAACGTTCGTTTTTTTGTTTCGTTTTTCTTTGGCGTGAGTGGAATGTCACCACATCCCACAAGTTTTGTACAGTGATAGAAGTATAGCTAAGCAAGAGGTTAGCAATATACAAAATGCTTTGTCAGCACTTGCACAACGAAATCACTTGAGGCCACACGCTCGAGCCTGTATCGGCCGTAACATTGCGCAGAAGCTTCGCTATTTCAGATTGTCCACGCAAATAACTGCGATAATAACGGTACAATAGAGCATTTTCGAAAGCCAATCCAGCAACACTGTCGGCCGCCATATTTTGGATCTCACTTCCTGCGCGAAGCGTGTGAGTGGATTCCAGTTCGCGCCGAGCATTGACGCACCACTCGTGTTAATGCAGGCTCTAAACACATAAGTACGCAAAGTCCCCCGAGGCTATATAGGTACGATAAGAAACAGAACAAACACTAAGTCTTCGTGCTTGTAGAAAGTCCTTGCGTTGTATGTATGTCTGGACAGCCGGAAGTTAGCCAGCCTAAACGAGCGCGTCTGGTGTCTCAGCTGTATATGAGAAATTTAGCCAGTGCAGTACGACCGCTAGCCTATAGGGTCTTTGACGTGCACACTCTAAAAAAGGCCCGTGCGTCTACTTTCCCGCACAACACTCGGAGAGCCAATCACCGCAACTTAGGGAGGCGGCTCAGCGAATGACCATGCCGAAACATATGTTTAGACCAAAAAACGCAGTCTGACATTAAGCAATGCAAGCGTGACGTTTTTCATTGCTTAATGTCACAACTCAGACTGCGTTTTTTCGTCCAAATAATGTTTCGGCATCGCCATTCACTTGGCGCCCTCCGTAAGTTGCGGTGACTGGCTCTCCGAGTGTTGTGCGGGAAAGTAGACGCACGGGCTTTTTTTAGAGTCTGATACACGACCTCACGCCGGTAGGATGCTCATCCAGATCGAAACTTTGTGTTGGCCTTGTCTCTTTATTTACCCTAATATCGCGAACTTTTTTTTAATTACACAGGCTTTTTTGCGCACTTACCTTTTGTTCAAAGCGCATGTCCATGTTACGGCGACCTCTGACAATCGGCGCAGCGGCTACTGGAGGGCGCGCACTTTTAAAAAGGATCCGTTCTTGCCGATGATCGGCGCATTCGCGCTCCTCTGTCGCGGAAACAGACTGCGACCTTGCCAATGTGTTCCTCGCGTCAACCCCCCCAGGCGCATCCGTGGGTCACCCAAGGTGCTACCTGTCCGATGCCTTCGGAGGAGGAGAACTGCGTGTTCGTCGAGGTCACCGAGGAGGAGATCGACAACTGCGTACGGACCATCCCGAAGTTGGACACATTGGTACGTGCGTCAACACATTTCCGGCGCTTATCATTGCGCATAGGTTTTCAGGTGTGTATTTATAGAGAAAACTGGCGGACGTTTTTCGATGTTTATTTTTCCTATGTATCTGTGTATTTCGGTTATCGGTTATCTGTTTCAATCGAAAATTAAAAACGAAGATTATCAGTGATATAATCTCACGAAAACCGAGAGTCTAAGAAGTGTTTCGACGCAAACAATTCTAGTTGCAGAAAACAACTCCAGAAATCGGTGTTTTTCGGCCTTAACCGATTTTATACATTTTACGCCAAAGACTTTTTACGGGTGTTTCTCGGTTAACACCTAACCTTGCTACGACTTACTAAACACCCAGGCGAAAAGTGTCGAGTCACTCGGCTTCGGACGTGTCCGCGCTATCTGATTCGCATTTCCAGAGCCCCAATGTGCACAAAGATGGCACTACGCAGAAGTCGACCATGTGCCGAGAAACTGAGAGAGAAGGAGACGATAGAAACGTCAAAACTTCGAGCTCTAGCTGGAAGAATAAGTGGGTAGGGCTAGCTTCCTTTGTTTCTACTCACCCTTCGAACTCGTTCAAACACCAACTCGGAACACTGGACGCCGACGTTTGGCAATCGAACGCGTTCGAAGTGCGAGTAGAGACAAAGGCAGCTATAGCTTTGCGTCTACCCCCTATTCAATCCAACCAGACCTTCGGCGTTCTGACGTCTCCTCCGCGCTCTAGTCTCCTCCTCTCCCGCAGTTTCTCGGCGCATCGGTATGGTCTACAGTCACTGACAGAATGAGAACGACGGAGCGTCTCTTTCAAATACCTGGCCTCCAGCACGCTCTCGTTGCCTTCCGTCGTGCTTTGCTAGCGCGTGCATATTAGAGGCTGACGAGACGCCGAAATTCAGCCGTTCTCATTCGGTCCGTTACTGTAGTGCGTCCGTAAACAGGTGTCAATACGCAACCAGTGTCGCTGGGTATGCCGAGAGTATACCGCTTTCGATTGCGTTCGCTTGAACTCGGAATACGAGCAAGTCAAGCTCGTCCAATCGGCTGATGTCGGCCATGTTGATGCCGGGAAGAAACAAAAACGAATGCGTATGTAAAACACTTACCTACGGGCAGAGGTCGGCATTTTAGGTCGCCCTCACTCACCCTCACCCTCACAGCCACACTCACCCTCATCCCCACAGCTACCACTCACCCTCAGCCCCTTACTCACGCTCATCCTCACAGTCACCACTCGCCTTCAGCCCTTCACTCACCCTCACAGAACCTCACGGCCCTCACGCCCCTCACGCACTCATGGTCCTCACACCCCTCACCGCCCTCGCACCCCTCACGCCCTTCACGCACTCATGGCTCTCACCGCCCTCACGCCACTCACCGCCCTCACGCCCCTCACTCACTTACGGCCCTCACACCCCTCACAAACTCACAGCCCCCATAGCCCTCACGCCCCTCACCGCCCTAACGCACTCATACCCCTCACGTCCCTCACGCACTCATGGCCCTCACGACACTCAGGCCCGCTTCAGATGAGGCGATTTCGCCCAGAAACTTGACGTCGCAACACCAGCAACACAGGCCACCCGCGTTCACACGCAGCAACCAATTTCTGCAATTTGCCAAAATCATCATTTTATTTTTCTTGCACTATTTGGACACACAATTTTGCGCTATAAAAGTGTCTTTATGCATTTAAATCTCGTGGAGAATACTAATACATCTTTCTGAAACAGTTTATTTCCAAAAACGATCAATTTCAAACCAGAACCAAGTCTTTTGCTGTCATCATCACCGGCACGAGGTATCACGTGAGAATATCGCGTTCCTGATTCGATGCAGCCGCTTCAAACATCTTCAAATTGCTCTGAGTTGCTCGCGTGTTTCGAGCCAGATCCGATCTCAGCAATTCGTGTCGATCTAGGGAAAGCCGTCAGCAACACGAACATTGCTGAGAAAGTTTCTCCGTCTGAAGGGGGCCTCACGCACTCACCGCCTTCACGCCCCTCACGCGCTCATGGCCTTTACGCCACTCACCGCCATCACGCCCCTCACGCACTCATGGCCCTCACACCCCTCACGCTCTCATGGCCCTCACACCCTTCACGCGCTCACCGCCCTCACGGCCCTCACACACTCACGGTCCTCACAGCCCTCACCGCCCTCACGGCCCTCACTCACCCTCACACTCATGAATTTCCTTGGTTCAGAAACTCACTCACCCTTACCTCACCTGTGAAGATGAGGGTGAGTGAGGGCCCTCATGAGTGAGGTTTGCCGAGGTATGCCTACGGGGAGCTCCAAAGAGCCGGTGAATTAGGACTGGTTGGAAAGTGATAAGCGAATTAGTTTTTCCTCGCGACCATTCTACATCAAGTAGCCTGTAATCTAGTCTAGGAAAGAAGAATGCTACCACGTTGGCCCGCTCGCGAGCAGGCTCTGCCAGGTTCTCCCGGTGCATTCCGTCATGTCAATGGCTTTAATATGGCGGACTGCTCAGGTACGCCATATTGAAGTGCTCCAATACGGCGGACTCTACACTCCGCCATATTGAAGCCATCAGTTATAGCACAGAGATGGAAATCTGAACCGGAGGGGCATTATGTAAATTAACCTGAGACTGCGGTAGGAAAAAAGAAGGCCTAAAAAAGTAGAAGAGGCACGAAAAAGAGGAAAAGAAAACAAACTGAGCTGAATTTAAGACGAGGTTTGATTCCTGCACTAAGTTTCGAAACCGAAAGCGAAAGCAACTGATTGTGCAATTATTAGTATAATGCAATTAAATGCAAAGGTGCGAGCGAGCTGGACAAGAATGACGAGAATAATCCCTGGAGAAGGGGAACAAGAGGGACAAAGGACAAACACAAATCTCCAAACACAGCACAGATTTGTGTTAAAAAAGCAGTGAAAGCTACACTGATGCGGTTTGCGCAGGTGAGTTATACGGAACATGGCATAGGGTGCTAACCGTAACGATCAGTCGGCTAATTAAGTAACAATTTGTGAATTAACTTTTCTTAATGTGTGAAAGCAAACATATGGTTTCAATCAGAAACTTGCTGAGCGTCATCGAAAACCACTAAAACAGTAATTTTTAGAACGGAGCGCGTGAGAAGCGCAGTAGAGCGCTAAAGTTGCGCTTCCGCTGCACTCGTGCAGCGCAAGGCTACCGGTGAGATAGCGCGTCCGCGCGATTTTTCCGTCTTTTTTATTTTTTTTAGCCCCAGCCTTGTACCTGTTGCAAGAATGGTACCTTTAGCACACTGCTACGCTTCCCACGCGCTCAGAGTTTTTCTAAAAAGTATTCATTTAGTAGTTTTCGAGGGCGCTCAGCAAGTTTCTAATTGGAACCATATGTATATTTTCACTCATTCAAAACTTAATTAACAAATTTTAATTAATTTGCCGAGTGATCGTTACGATTAGCCCCCTATACTATGTCCTCCTGGCCGTATAACTCACCCGCACAAACCGCATAAGTGTAACTTCCACGGCTTTTTTTTTTAACAAATCTGTGAAGCTTGAAAAAAGGAAGCACCCTGTATATCTCAAATCGGATTTCCTTTAAAAAAACTCGTGAAAATGAGTCATCTGTCCTTTCATCCTTTCAACTACGTAATTCAAAGGTTAATTTGTCAACTGATGAGAATAGTTATCTATTTCGCAGTTTTTGCCAGATCCGTTAGCTGTGTAGGCAAGATAATAACAAGATTACAAAACACTGCCTTTTTAGTAATTAGATAAGATCAAAATCTAACACCCGGTATTGAGCTGTTGAGAAAATCAATGGAACATGTTACAAGAGACCTTCTTAAATGTAACTAATCGCTCAAAAGATGTGATGTGCTGCTAAACTGCGATGCGGTTACGAATAAATATTTTCATTATTCTCACACCCTTATGCTACGGCAGGAAACTGACAAAAATATAAATACAGTTTATTTGTGACCGCACAAAGCCATCACAGCAGCTTCGCGGCAATATCGTATTTACTCGAGTAATAGCCGTACTGCTTATGAAGAAAACCTGAGTGTTCACTTCACCGAGGAGCACGCGGATTGCCAATCACCGCAATCGACAACATGATTCCAGCGGTTTACAGGACAGGGATAACGTCTTTGTGCAAGGGTACCATCTGTGAAGACTGCATTTGTATGGAGAATCGTGTTTTCGATCTAGTTATTCGCTCTGTTATTTATGCGCAACGCGATTATTGGCTGTCTGTGTTCTGAGGGAAAGTAGACGCAAGAGCCTCGTTCGAAAAATAGTAGGGCTATTACTCCAGTAAATACGGTACATGATATGGTTTGGAAGAAAGTCGGAAACATTCGTGTTGAAATCTACTGTACTCCTCGATTAAACAAGAAGTTACAAGCAAAGAATTATTTTTCTCTTTCTCTCTACCTATAAATATATATATTTAATTAATAATATATTTTGTAATCTATCTATCCATCTAATCTGCCTGATACCTATGCAATCTATATTTAATCCACCTGTCTATCCGTCTAATATATTTCATCCCTCTATGTAATCCATACCTAATATATCAATTTATCTGTTCATTCGTACGCCCCCGTGTCTCTTTTCTTCCTTCCATATCTTTTTAAGAGGAAATAAAGGCAAGTTCTATTATAATAAAACGAATGGGTGGGAGTGGCACACACACAAATAGAAACGAAGAAACATGTAAAAAAAGTAAAACTTTATTTTGTTTTTTGTTTTTTATGTGAGATTTAAGAAGGGGGAGGGGGGTTCGATCGCAATTCTTCCATACATTTCATCCTGTTCTATTCGTCCATTCCTCAGGTACTCTTTTCCTCCCGTTGTTCCTTTCGATTTTTTTCTTCTTCTATAATCAAATTTATCCTGCTTTCTTCCAAAAGCGTACGGCCGTCGCCCTTTCCAGCGGATTCTTGCACGCATACATGGAAAGGATTTGAACAAACACAATAGCGGCGGCGGGTTTTCGTTTGTTACTCAAGCACGCATCCGCTAACCCC